TCCGGGCATATATGGCAGCATTCTTGGCACTATTCCTAGCGGCGAGAAGGTGATAAACAGTCGTTCCAGTCTCCTGAACCTTCGTTGCAGCTACTACGGGCGAAGCATAGTTGAGAGCAGCTGTTGAAGATTGATGGTGGTCGTTCTTGAGGTCAGAAAAGGTATTTTTGTTGTCATGGGGTTCAGGTCCGGCCTCCTGAGCAATTCCTTGTCCTTTCTGCTCAATGCTTTTAGCATCTGACTCCTTGTTGTCTTCATTGGGATGGTAGGAACCATAACAGGGCTTATCATCGATGTCAGACGTGGGTTTTTGGGAAATCTCGACTTTTTCCTTCTTTCCAGAAGCCGTCAACATTTCGAAGTCATCGGATCCCGGAGACGATGTTCTTTCTAGCTCTGGAGCAGTGGAGAATGAGTCATCGGAGCAGGCGTCTTCATCGGAATCATTCCCTGATCTTTCATCATAAGTCCCAGCATTAACTGAACCGTTGAGTTGCTTCACGTTTTCTGATTGCATCTGAATCGGAAGCTCATTGAACACTTTGAGCTCTTTATCCAACTTCATCACTTTCCTCCCATTCTCTTCAAATTTGAACAGAATTCCATCCTGACAAGTGAAAATCACTCCGTTTCTCACCAATGTACTTTTGGTCAAGGTACAATTGTCGCATTTTACTTGTACGAGAGAGTCAGCCGTCAATAAAAGTTGTAATTCTGAGGTTTTTTTGAAGGCAAAAATCAGAATACGGCTGTAGTGGAAGCAGAATCGATAGCTGTAGAAGATGAGGGGCTCAGAGACAGGGTCAGTGAGGCTTTCTTGTGATTTGAGTGGCAGGAATTGAGGTGTGGAGATTTCTGAAAATGGAAAAGGTTAGATTTGAAGATTACTGTAGGATTACGGTAGTTACATTATTCCGAAAACACCACTGCGTAAAATTTGGCGGGAATCTGAATTTTCAGAACTTTTGGTGGGAATTCAAATTTTCGAAAAAAATTTTGGCGTAAATCTGCATTTTAGGATTCTTCGTGGGAATTCAAATTTTGAGAAATTTGGCGGGAATCTAAATTTTCAGAATTTTTGACGGAAATCCAAAATTTCAAAAATTTTGGCGAGAATTCAAATTTTCAAAAAATTTGGCGGGAATTCAAAATTTCAAAAAATTTTGGCGGGAATTCAAATTTTCAGAAATTTTGGCGGGAATTTGAAAAATCCATAAAATTTGGCGGGAATCTAATTTTTCAGAATTTTCGGCGGCCGACTGGTTTGAATCCTCTCCAGGATTGGCTACCGTAACCCTAGCTGAGCCACTAAATCATACAGACAGCTACAGTAACCCAATCCTAGCTACCGTAACCGAGAATAACTGATACGTTACAGTACATCTCCCTTTGTACACTTACCACTCTTATCCTCCTTCTTTTCTTCTGGAAGCTTCTCGAACCTATCCAACTTTTCGTCAAACACATATTTTTGGTAGGCTTGGTTGGTGTTTTTGCGCACCAGGACGACGTCCTGTTGGGTGTCCGTGTCGAAGGCGATGGAGTACTCGATTTTATTCGGCATGGTGGGTCTGGAAAGATTGGGAGTTTAGGTTTTGAAACAAGCGGTGTAAAAGGCATAGGGATAGACCCAAAAAAGCCAAGAAAGGCCCAAAAAAAGCAATGAACGGCCCAAAAAAGCATAAGGAGGTCCAAAAAAGTCATGGGGAGACCCAAAAGGGAAGGATAGAGAACATACAAAACTGACAGACCAATAAATCTCGGGTAGGTGTCAAATCACAATTAGTAGGCAGGTGATGAGCAAATCCCTGTTATTATGTAATCGCTTTTTTTTGTGCAGGTGTCCTATTAGGATGGGAGAGGGGAACCGTTAATGAGTGAGTAAATGATGATGGGTGACAGGTTAATTTAGATGATGAATGGGGCAATTGCTTCAGAACAGAGATCCGTAGAACTTTGATGGAAACGATAAATTGAGTAAATTTGAGAGCTGATAATAAGGCTCGCATCGCCGCCACAAATAAGAATTACCACTCTAAGAGCTGCTGCTCATCAGAATTTTTATAAAAGCGGAATGAATTTATCAAAACTGTTCATATAAGAACCAGAAGATTAAAACTGGAAGAAGGAACTGCCCCAAATAAAAACTTAAAAAAAACCGGGGACATGTGAATTTGATATTGACCGTCACGGCCTTATTTTTGGCAGTCATAATCTTTTCGGTTCTCATTTGAACAGCTCCGCGACATTTCAAAATTCGACATTTCGAAAACGCGACGTTTCGAAACCAAGACATTTTGAAACCCATACAATTCCAAACCAGACATTTCGAGACCGTTGAAAATTAGGCTCGAAGTTTTTGAATTTTTGAAAAAGGGACTAAGCGTTTTTTGCAGGTGTCCTTTTAGGATGAAAGAGAGAGAAAGGAAGACAGACAATGGGTATGTGAATGATGATGAATAAGTGACAGGGCATTTGAGATAAAAGGCAATTTGTTAGGCAAAGAATGGGCCATGGGGAACGGGTTGGGGAGATCTGATAACCGTACAAGAGACTGGTCCAATACGAATTTTGAATTTGGGATGTATAATGAACAAGGAAATCATAAATCTAAATCTAAGGAATCTGCGATAGAGAAAAAAACCACTGTTATATGGAACATAAACCCACAATTATGATAAGAAGGCACCCCAAATGAAAGCTACTATCAGAAAAATTTTCGAAATTGGGAATTACAGAAGAAAACACGCTAAATCCTACGACTCTAACAAAAATATGATAAAAAGATACCTCCGATGAAGGACAGAATATAACACGGCTTGAAATTTAGATTTTACAGTATCACAACAATAAGAAAACCGCTAGAAAAAAGAAGAACTCACCAAAATCAAAATGAATCTGCAACCTGCCACTAAAACCCGCCCTAGCCAACAACAGAACACCGAGAAGAACAAGACGATGAATAATCGATCCACCAACACACACACACACACACACACACACACACACACACTGAGACTGCACACAAATGACGGGGAGGCCACTCGGACCACTAACAGACTGACGATGGTGAGGGGTCAGAGGAGACGGAGGTTTATTGTGGGGAAAAGGGAGAACGTCTAGATGTTTCTGTAGATTTCTGGAGAAAGATGGTTTTGTGAGAGTGAGTGACAGGTGATGTGCAGAGATTCAAAAAAGATTCTAGAAGAATTGCCGTGGTGCATCGTAGTTCTTCTGACTTCTGAACGTTTTTCACATGGGTTAAGAATTTCCTATAAATTGGTGGTCTGAAAGTAGATTTACCTGTGAGTGGATTCTGACATTTTCAGCCCTCACTGGAGCCTGAGAGTCAGAAGGGGGCGGGTCCAGATATTCAGATAAAAATTTCCAGACTCTCCGGCTCTAATGACGGCTGGGAAGTTTAGGATCCACTCACAGAAGCATCTACTTTTAGATCACAAATTTATTCCCTTGTTAGGTAAGTCGAGCAGTCCGTTGCCTTGATCGAGTCCCTATGGCACCCACCATCGGGTATTTCACTCCCCTCTTGTTTAATCTTTGTACTGTTCATTTGTTCCGATGACTTTCCACCACATCCGATTTCCATTTTTTGCGATGTGTCACATTTAAATATTATTGCAATATCAATCGTGTGAATCCCCCATTCGCCCCATAAAACCGGCTCGATTCTCCCTCTTTTCAACGACAAAACCATCAGAAATGTCAGCTCTTCTTCACATAATCTTTCTAATTCCTCTTGTTTTAACCGCTAAACTTTGCGAGGATAAGGATACTACTGGTGGGTAAAATAAGAATTTTTTTAGAAAAAAATTTTGTTTCCAGTTTGCGGCGGTTGCCCAAGACGTCCCACATTCGAACAAACGTGGCTCGAGCAGGAGCATCCGGACCTCGCAGAATACTGGAAAAACTCCACATTCTCCGCTCCAACCATGGAGTACAAGGATTGCACATCGGTCAATGCCACTTGTCCATCGGGAACTCGTGTGGCTGTCTACAGTTTCCTGTCTTTGAATATTACTGTTAATAAGCAGGTAGGAATTCATTTTTTGGCAGTATCTTCGAAAAAAAGAGACTTTTTCAGGTATACCCAAACCCACTGGTTTTGAAAGGCATAGAGTGCAGAACAGGAGGGTTTTGGTATGATAAAGGCATGTCCCAGAATGTCAACGCTCAAGTCATCGGAATTTCCGTGTCGTGCATTAAGCCTTAACTCATGAATGTTGCAAATAAATAACTTCCTATTGTGAAACGCCTTTGATGATTACATATGTGGCGCGCGTCGCGGTCGCGTAGCGTGCTTGCTTCGAGCTGGCAATGCTGCCTGGCACAGGTCCCGGGTTTGATTCCGGGGCAGCAAATTTCGTTTTGTTTAAACATTCTTTGTCAGGCCATTGGGAAGTTGTGAGACTTCGCGCGCGTCGCGGTCGCGTAGCGTGTCTGTCGAGCTGGCAATGAAAAACGGCAAACACGTTTCATGTGGCGCAGTGGCTAATGGTTCCAAGTTCGATTCCTGAAGCAGCAAAATTCGTTTTGTTTCTTTATCAGGCCATTGGGAAGTTGTGAGACTTCGCGCGGGTTGCGGTTGCGTAGCGTGTCTGTCGCGCTGGCAATTCCGTTTTTTTTTCAAATTTGAGGACCATTCTGTTTTTGCTTGTTATGTTACCGACAAAAGCCTATTTCAGCTAAACAAGAGATCGCGCGCGTCGCTGTTGCGTCGCGGTCGCGTAGCGTGTCGGCTGAGCTGGCAGTTTTTAATTTTTTTCAAAATCGATAACTCACTTGTTTTTTGTTAGGGCTTCTGGATCCTGCTATTCTTCTCTCAACGGCTTAAGCCAGCAAAAACAAGAGATCGCACGCGTCGCGGTTGCGTAGCGTGATTGTCGCGCTGACAATCTGTTCAGGAAGCTTGGGTAGACGCCAGACGCAAGCGACGGGACAGCCGCCAGCTAGTAAGGGCACTAGCGGCGGCGACAGAAGTGTTCGATATGGCGCAGTGGCTAGCGCGCCTGTTTTCGAATTTCGAGGTCACGGGTTCGATTCCGAACGGGGTCGATTTTTTTTTGTTTTTTTTTTGTTTTTTTTTTTGGACATCAGTGACCATTTTTCATCTTTAGTTAGCGCTACCAAAGCCATTTTTGTACCAAAAATTCTAATATTTTTCCCGTGAACTCTTCCCGGAAACCTTGAAAGGAAGAAATTCCAAAAAAAAACCACAACACGTCCATTTTACAATTCCTTCCAATTCTCCGGACGAGGATATCCAAAGAGAAAAGAACGAAAGAGAGAAGACAGATAAAATTGGTATCGAAAACACGCTTCAAGGAGAATTGTGAGTTTTTTCATTAACTTTTTCAAGTAAAAGGATTCAGAGCAATGAGCCAAACACGTACTCACGAGCAAACACTGGCCAAAGAGCCCTGGTATCACGGACTGTTGCCACGTGAGGATATGAAGGTGCTGCTCACGCAACGTGGCGATTTTCTGGTGCGGTTCACCGATCCGAAGGTTGGCGAGTCACGGAAGTTTGTGCTGTCGATTTTTGTCGGCGATGAGGTGAGGTTACCTTAAAGGCGCAACAGGTTTTTTTCAGAAATTATGACAGTGCGGTCTAGGGCTGAGAAAGGCGGAGAAGGCGCAGCAATCTCTACGCCCTCCTCCTACTTTTCTGGTGTTGCTCTCGTGGCCTAGTGGCTAGCGCAGTTGTTTTTGAAATTCGCATCGCGGGTTCGACCTCCGCTGGGGCAAATTCTTTTTTTCTTTTTTTTTCTTAAAGACGCAACAGGTTTGGAACAAGCTACAAGCGCCTTTAACCTAGCTGTCGATGGCGGAGAGAGGGGGAGAAGGCGCGATATTATCTACGCCCTCTGCCTGCGTGCCGAAAGTTTTCCCCGTGGTCTAGTGGCTAACGCTGCCGTTCTCCAAATTTGCATCGCGGGTTCGACCCTCATTGGGGTCAAATCTTTTTTTTTTTTTTTTACTTGCGGGAGCCATCGTCTCTATTCTACAGAAGGCGCTACAAGTTTGACAGGAACTGCATGCGCCTTTAACCTAGGGCGGAGAAAGAGGGAGAGGCGCAGTTATCTCTACGCCCTCCTCCTCCTTCTACGATGTTGCACGCGTGGCCTAGTGGCTAGCGCTCCCGTTTTCCAGTTTTGCATCGCGGGTTCGACCCCCACTGGGGCCAATTCATTTTTTTCTTTTTTTTTTCAATCCTCAAATTTTCCAGATCCGCCACTACGTGATCCGCGAGTTCGACAACAAGTTCGCCGTCGACGCGAAATGGTTCGCCTCAATCCCGGATCTCCTCAACTATCATCATCGTACCAAGGAGCCCGTCGCCATCGGTTGCGCCGAATCCATCCTGGTCCGCCCTATTGGCCGGGAGCCATGGGAGAAGCAGCATTCGGACGTGACCCTCATCAAAAAACTAGGAGAAGGAGCGTTCGGAGAGGTGCAGCTAGGCGAGATTCGTATCGGGAATACGGTGAAGAAGGCGGCGATCAAGCTGGCGAAACTGGAGAGTTTGACGAAGGAACAAATCAAAGAAATTATGCATGAGGCGAGGTTGATGAGAAAATTCAAACACCCGAATGTAGTTACTTTCTATGGAGTTGCAGCTGGCCAGGAGCCATTGATGGTTATCATGGAATTGGTAAGTCTGTCTGTAGATCTGTTTATCCGGCTTGGAGACATTTCGAAACCAGGGTAGTGTGATAAATTTTTCGGACCGAAAAGTTTTTCGATACAAAATTTCCGAAAAATTTTTCAAAAAAATGGTTTCGAAAAATTTTTTCGGAATCTGAAATTTCTATCGTGAAATTGAAAATTCACTGGCGATTTATGAGAAACTCATTTTTTCCGGTTTTTTTTTCGGACAAATTTTTCGAAAAAAAAAAGATTTTTCGAAAATTTTTCGGAGGTCTTTTCCGAAACCAGACACCTCGAAACCGTTGAAAAATTGGGCTTGAAATTTTCAAATTTTTAATCGATTTACTGAAAAATAGAACAAAAAATAAAATTTGGAAAAAATTTTTTTCAGAATTTTTTTCGGTCAAAAAATTTTTTTCAATTAAAAGTTCGAAATTTTTTCGTTCTAATTTTTCAGAAAATCGATCAAAATCGAGTCAAAAAATTTGAAAGTTCTCGGTTTTGTTCGATTTTTAGGAAAAATACAACAAAATAAAATTTGGAAAATTTTTTTGGAAAACAATTTTTTCAAAATTTACTTTCCGTCAAATTTTTTTCAAAGTTTGGAATTATATTTTGTTCTAATTTTCCAGAAAATCGATTTAAATCGAGTCGACAATTTCGAAAATTTCAAGTCTAATTTTCCACTGTTTCGAAATTTCGCGGAGCCGTGTACCCAGTTTCATTTTTTCCCCAATTTTCTCCAGGCTGAAAACGGCGCCCTCGACTCGTACCTGAAAAAGAATGCTGGCTCCCTACCAATTTCCAAAAAGAACGACATGGTCCTCCAAGCCGCTCTGGGCCTCGAATACCTCCATTCCCTTCAAATCATCCATCGAGATATCGCGTCGAGAAACTGCCTCTATGGAGGTGGACAGGTCAAAATTTCCGATTTCGGACTGTCGAGAGAAGGCACCAGTTATCGATTGAATCCCCATAAAAAGTGATTCTTTTTTCCGTTTAGGACCCCATAAAAATTATTACAGGGTCCCAATCCGTTGGCTGGCTCCGGAGGTGCCGCGTACTGGATTCTACACGCCGAAAACTGACGTCTTCGCCTATGGTATCATGTGTTGGGAGGTGTATCATGATGGCACTGAACCGTATCCTGGGATGAAGGTGGCCGAGGTGTTGCCACGTGTACAGGACGGATATCGGATGAGTTTTGAGGCGAAGGTGTCGCCGGCGGTGGTCAAGTATATTACGGTAAGGGTCTTAGCCTCTTCCTAAGCCTCTACAAACCTTCCTAAGCCTCTACAAACTTTCCTTAGCCTCTACAAACCTTCCTTAGCCTCTACAAGTTTTCCTTAGCCGCTACTATCCTTCCTAAGCCTCTACAAACTTTCCTTAGCCTCTATAACCTATTCTTAGCCTCTACAGAGATTCCTAAGCCTCTACAAACCTTCCTACGCCTCTGCAAACTTTCCTTAGCCTCTACAAACTTTTCTAAGCTTCTACAAACCTTCCTTAGCCTCTACAATCTATTCTTAGCCTCTATAGAGATTCCTTAGCCTCTACAAACTTTCCTTAGTCTCTACAAACCTTCTTTAGCCTCTACAAACTTTCCTTAGCCTCGACAAACTTTCCTTAGCCTCTACAAACCTTCCTTAGCCGCTACAAACTTTCCTAAGCCTCTACAAACCTTCCTTAGCCTCTACAACCCTTCCTTAGCCTCTACAAAGATTCCTTAGCCTCAACGAATTCTCCCTTAGCCTCTACAGAAGGCTCCTAGCCTCTTCAAAT